TAGCTCTTCCATAATGGAATAAAATCCATGTGTGTGCTGTAGAAAAATCCACACCTGCTCTCACAAATACATAAAGGTTTAGTTACAACTTCTTGAAATACATAGTTCTGCCTAAAATGCATCTACTGGGTCCCCAGGAGTTTAACAGACTTGAGGATAAGAAGCCCTAAGACAATCAAACCCACTGTAGTGCAGTCAGCAACGATAACATTTATGAACTCATTGTAGATGTGAACATTCAGAAGAGTGCTTTAAAATCTCAGAGATCTTGCTAACATTATTTGCAGGCAGTTGAAAAATCTAAATCCCTATACATTGCAAGACATACAGGAAAGGAGAGTCATCTTGTGCAGAGCCTGTTCAGGGTTTGTTCAGAGTTTTACTGTAGGACACACACACTCCATTCATGACTTGGCTTCTTAAGTCGCACAAGTGTGAGGAAGGACCACCCGAGGTACGGGTATCAGTGATGATGGAAATTCCAATCAGGCCATTGTACCTGAGAGGGGATGGTTGGAAGCAGGCCCTCTCTGACCAGATGCTCCTTGAACTTCTGCACTTGGGCTCTGGTTTGGAGTGTACCCCAAGTATTTATCTCTATCCATTAGGATCCTTTCATGCAAAATTGGGCAAGTGAATATCATTTATCAGTGATAATTATAAGCAACATTTATTGAGCACATGTTTGCCAGGCACGTTCTTGGGTGCTTTATGCTCTAAGAGGGGACATAATAATTATTCTAATTGTAGAAATGGATAAATTTATATCCATTTGGAGTCAATGGTAGCTGAACAAAGACTCCACCAGGGCTGCCTGAATAAAAGCCCATCCTCTCCAAATGATGCCATTGTACACACTAAACATTTGTCACAGCTGTAGATCTCTACCTGCGTTGTACACCATGAGGTTCTGAAACTGACATCCTATTCTTTGGCTACAGAACTGGGGGAGGATAGTCTCAATTCTTGTACAGGCCATTATCTACTGACTCTTTGGGTATTCCATGCTTGCCTTGATGTTCCTGCTTCAGATTCAAATGCTGTGGTTATTTGAATGAGATGTCCCCCATAATCTTGGGCACTCGACTATTTGGTTCCCAGTTGCTGGTGCTGGCTGGGGAGTCTATGGAGGTGTGACCTTGCTCGAGGAAGCTTTGGGAGTTTAAAGACTCATGCCATTTTGAATGCACTTTCTCTGTTTCATGCTTGCTGTTCAAGCTGTGAGCTTCCTCCTCCTGCTACCGTGCTTTTGCTTGCCATCATGGATTCTAAGCCCCTGGGACCATAGACCCAAATGAACTCTTCCTTCTATAAGTTTTCTTAGTCATGATGTTTTATCACAGCTATAGACAAGTAGCTAATGCATCTAACCATTTGGTTAGATCCTTTGGAGTCTAACTCATTTCTCAGTAAACTCGCCTACTCAAGCTTGCTCAGGTGTCCAGTTTTATGAGACAAAAGCTTGCTGTGTAACCCTAGCTGGACTTGAATCAATGATCATCCTTTCTTAGCTGAGATCATATGCATGCTCTCTGACACCTGGCTTAGGATCTTACTCAAGAGCTCTGACCTCTCTCTCATGTGCCTTGAGTGATCACTGGCCCAGAGTGGATCTGTCTTACTAGCAATACAAACGCTTTGTATCATGGCCTCTCTCTCTATTCTCTACACTCCATTTTGTCTTTCTGGGATTCCCTTCCCTTCTCTTCCCTCTCTCTCCTTCAAGCACACACACACACACACTGTCACTCTTATTCATTCACTTAGTGCGCGTGTGTATGTGTGTGTGTGCATGTATATGTGTGTGTGTGTGTGTGTGTGTGTGTGTGTGTGAGAGAGAGAGAGAGAGAGAGAGAGAGAGAGAGAGAGAGAGAGAGAGAGAGAGAGAGAGAGTAATGAGCATGCTACTGTGTGTGTGATGGTCAGAGGGCAACTTATAGACGTTGGTTCTCTCCTTTTTACCATGTAATTCCTGGAGGCCACCATACTTTGTTGCAGGCATCTTTACTTGCTGAGCCATCTCACCAGCCATGGACCTCTCTTTTCTGGCCAGCTGTGCCTGTGATCTCAGGTTGTGGTCATCAGAAGGCCTCCCTTCCTGTTTCTGTTTTCTCAGGAAGGGGACTTTTTTGATGGCATCAGAACTGAACCCACTCTTCCTTTATTGGCATCTTTTGTGTGTTTTCATTAACTAGTCTGTGTCATCATGCAAGCAGAGGAGGTGGTTGGTAGCACGATCCATTCATTCATGACAGATTTATCAAGTTCCTATTTAAGATCCAGGCAGTGTGCTGAGTGCTGGAGTTGCCATGGTGACCAAGATAGAACTTTCTCCTGCTTTCATAGTTTATTGCTTCGGAAGGAATCACACAAAAAGAGGCACTTGCAATACAATTTGATAAAGATTCTGAGGCAATATCACGTATCTTGAGAATACATCAAAGGAGCCACCTACTCCATGTTTGAAGGGCTAAAACAGATTACCTGGAGGAGGTAAGACTGAAGACTTGAAGGATGACTGGAAGAAATATGTAAGTCAGGTGAAGAGGTTGGTAGTCAGGGAGTGTGAAGAAAGGGGCAGTTTGAGAAAGACGCGAGGTCTACAAGCAAAGAAAGCAACTGATCCACAGTGAGTTCGGAGTATCAGAAGCAGAGATTAAGTAGCGTGAGAACCGACGCGATGTTGGAGCTGGTTTATGGGAGTACAAGTCCGAGTGTCACATGACAGCTGCATGTCCGCTAGATTCCCTGTGTTCTCACAAGCTAAGTTACTACAGCTTGGAGATGCAATGGCAGAAGATGAGGCTAAGGAGTAGGCGGTATAGAGTGCCCCCCATGAAATAGAGATGATTAATAAGCTCAGAGACTTTTGGTCCTGGGCAGCCACCACCCATGCTGTCACAAGGGCTGAAGCAGCCGAGTCCCTTCTTCTAGGTAGAATTCCTGAGGATCAAGACACGCTGGTGTCAAAAGTGTTCTCCTTTCCAAGTGAATACACTTAACCAGCATTGCCTCTGCTGCAGCTCCATCCCACTGCCTGCCATGGGCACTATTTCCACTTGGAACCAAGCTGGAACTTGCAGAATCACCAGCGACCCCATAGGGTGCTGGTGGTTATCCCCATTGGTGCAGATGGAGACACTGAAGCTCAGTGACATCCAACCACCTGTCACAAGCCACCAAGCTGTAAGTGGCAAGGTGGAACTGGGGCCTGGGCTGATCCCAAAGTGATTGTAACAACACAACAGCTTCTTCTCTGCCACCATTGTGTTCTTTTGAAGAACCCTGCGCTCTGATCTGTCATGTTTCTTACTGGAAGTCTCTTTTTCACACGAATGTTTCTTTAGCATTCTCTCATGTATCTCAGGCTGAGTTTGACCTGCCTAACCAGCCTAGAATGACCTTAAACTTCTGATCCTACGGCTTCTACTTTCCAAATGCTATGATGGCAGATGTGCACCACCATGGCCACTTTATGTGGTGATGGGAATGAAACCTAGGGCAGCCTACCAACTGAGCTATACTCCCCCAAGCCTCATTGATCCTTGTTTTGACGATGTTTCCCAAGGGTTGGATCAAAGATTTTGGGAGTGCATCTCTAAGAGTCTCCCATCCTCGACAGGCAGGATTCAATCCAGACACCCTGAACTTTTGTATGTGTTAAATGAAAAAGAGCTTGCCCCATCTGACTACATCCCCAAGATTTGAGATGGCCTCCCATTCCTCATGTTCATTAATGAAACAAGAGCTATTTTCGATGTTGGCTAGTCCTTCTCTATTCTCCTCAGAGGAACTGGTGACGTCTCATGCCATGATTTTTAGGCAATCCTTGGCATCCAAAATGAGAGTAGCAGGAGAGGTTCCTGCCTTTCTACCCAGACTTGCCCTGTACGCTGTTTCTTATTTGCTTTCATTTTTACCACTTACATTACTACGTTAATATCAACATCCATGCACAAAGCTATCGAGTTTTCGGACCCTCCACTCCCTGCCGCCTCTCCTCCCAAACACCCGGCAGCAAGTCTGGTGGGTGCCAGCTGTAGAAATGGATGTGTTCACCAGCTAAGTCTCAGACATAGGTCTTAATTAAATGCCTCTCCATTAGAGGCTTAGCTCTCCTTGCAGTCAGATGGCCCTGGCTCTGCATTCCTGACAGTGTTCCGGATGCTCTCACCAATTACTCGTCTCCTTCCTGGCAGCAAATAGAAAAAGCAATTTTCAAATTGTTTCCATTATCATAGATCATTTTCTCAGAAATATCACTTGAAAAAAAAAGGATGGGGTGGGTATGGAATTATTTCCAGTTAAGACAGTTATGGAATTTTCTGGAAAAAAGTTGGTTCTCACAGGGGTCACTATATAGTTTAGAGTCCACAGATATGAATAATTATACTAACTCCACCTTTACTAACCATGTGAAGAGGGCGAGTCACTTTATTTTTGTCCACCATTTGTAAGATATCAGTACCGAGAGCTGCTACAAGGAGAGGTAGCCTGTGACCTGGGAGGTTCTGTTATTACCATTTTAAAAATCATTTTCAAGAGAGGCTGGAGAGAGGCTCAGTGGTTAAGGGCACATACTTCTCTTGCAGAGGACAGGAGTTTAATTCCCAGCATCCACATTAGGTGGTTCATAACTGCCTGGAACTCCAGCTTCAGGGAATCTGACACCTCTGGACTCCATGGGCACCTGCATTCACATTCACAAACTATCACACACACACACACATAATGAAAACTAAGTAAATGTTAAAATTGTTATCAAGAGAACCATCTACCTGTCTGTCCTCAGGGTAATCTGATATAGTTTTGTTTCCCAGGAGCCTCTTTTTCCCTGTGAAAGGCCTGTCTTCAAAGGCTGGATGTGTTACTGCTTTCATAGGTGTTGTGGATCTCACTTCTTATAAATGTCTGAGAAAATGAAAACCTGAAGAGACTGTGGCTGGCATTTTAAACTTCAGTTAGCCTTCTTCAATCAGATAACTACATTTTCATTACAGAACGATGAAGTGGAATTTGTCCGAACTGGCTATGGGAAGGATATGGTCAAAGTACTCCATATTCAGAGGAATGGAAAATACCACAGCATCAAAGAGGTGGTAACTTCGGTGCAGCTGACTCTGAGATCCAAAAAGGATTACCTCCATGGTGATAACTCTGACATCATCCCTACAGACACCATCAAGAACACAGTGCATGTCCTGGCAAAGCTCAAAGGGGTATAGTCATTCTTTGATGCTAGCTGCTTCTCGATGCAAATCAGTGCATGCTCGCCTGGGGCGGGGGCACTTGCTTATTTTAAGCTCTCATTTCCTTTTAACCTATTTTTACATATGCGCCATTTTTAAATTTTTCCTTTCTACCCTAAAATTCTCAGGCTTACAGAAAAACTTGTTTCATTTTATTCTTTTAATTTACCTTGTGTTAGTTAGGGAGAAAAGTTCCTGGGCAAATTAACTTATAGGCCCAGGGAGGATTTCAGACTAAATGAACACATTTCTTGTGCTTTATCACCTCGAGACTGCATTTGTAGTAAAAAGGGCCATTGTTGTACAGTAAACGAGAACATTGATTATAGGATACTCTACATATTGGCAGAATCTACTGCCCCAAATTTTGTGCCTTGTTTTAGTTTCCTGATTGTTGTGACACAATACCCCACACTCCAGGGCATGGGGGAGCAGCTGAAGGAAGGGTTTATTTTGGCTTGTGGCTTGGGGTTATAGTCCATGGTTCTCAACCTTCCTAATGCTGTGACCCTCCAAAAAAGTTCCTAATGTTGTGTTGACCTCAACCATAACATTATTTTGGTTGTTACTTCATAACTGTAATTTTGCTACTTCTGAATTGTAATGTAAGTATCTGTATTTTCCAGTGGTTTTAGGTGACCCCAAAAGGGTCGAGATCTACAGGTTGAGTACCGCTGGTATAATTCATCACCATAGGGATGTCTTGGCAACAGGCATGTAGAAAGTTAGTCATCCCCTATCTGTGGTCAGGAAGCAGAGAGGTGAATGCTGGTGTTCAGCTTGCTTTCACCTTTTCATTTATTCTGGGCCCCCAGGAGGTGGGATGGTCACCCCCACATTCAGGGTGAGTATTCATTCCCCTTGTGGCTCAAACAGACACACCTAAAGACTGACTTTCCTGGGGAACACTGGAGCCCATTTGCAAACCTCATGGAAAGCCCCCCCACACACACACAAGTATTACACGCACATTGAGAAAATATTCTGGACGTAAGTTACATCTTGTTTATCTGCCAATGTCTCCTTTCCTGCAAAGCAGGTTTCTTTTAAACATGGGATGGTGCTGGAGAGGTGGCTCATCAGTCAGGAGACTGGCTGGTCTCCTAGAGAACACTAGTCGTATTTCTAGCACCTACATGGTGGCTCACAACCACCTGTACTGCCAGTCAGTTCCACAGGATCTAACACCTTCCTCTAGTCTCCATGTCATCAGACATGAACATGGCACACAGACATGTATGCAGGCAAGGCACCCATACATATAAAATCGAAGTAACAAAAATATTGAGAAATAACAAATAACAAGACAGAGTTTCCTAGGTGATGGAAATCTACGGCCCACACCCAGGAAGTGTAGAGGGAATTCAGGCCTGGACTGTTCCATCTCCTGAGATTCTAAGTCTGCTTCTCTCATCGGAAGACACAATCGATGGGTAAAGAGCCCCTGTGATGCTTAGCAATCACTTCCGGCTGCGTTTGACAGTGCTTTCCTGTAATCACAGCCCATGGGAGGCAGATCAGAAGGACTGCCAGGAGCTTGCTGCTCTCCTGGGCTACACGAGAAGCCTTATCATAAACAAACAAACAGAAAAAAACAAAACAAAACACAAAAACATTGCAAGTCAGATATAGAGGTTTATAATCTCAAAATGAGGTAGAGACAGAAAGATCCTGAGTTCAAGATCAGACCGAGCCGTGTAGTCAGTCAGTGAGCCACTTTCTCAAAATAAAGAAACAATCAAATCAGCCTAAATGTTTTAAATGAGACATTTTGACCTTTCTTTCTTTCTTTCTTTCTTTCTTTCTTTCTTTCTTTCTTTCTTTCTTTCTTTCTTTCTTTCTTTCTTTCTTCTTTTTTTCTTTCTTCCTTTTTTTTTTTTTTACAGATAAAAAGCATAGAGACGTTTGCTATGAACATCTGTGAGCACTTCCTTTCTTCTTTTAACCACGTCACCCGAGCCCACGTCTACGTGGAAGAGGTCCCCTGGAAGCGTTTTGAAAAGGTTTCATCATTTATGCTCCCAGTTTAATGAAAGAAATTGCTATCGTGGTTTGTGCTGGAATGTGACTGGAAACCGCTTTGTCTTCTCTTTCAGAATGGACTCAAGCATGTCCATGCTTTCATTCACGCCCCCACCGGGACACACTTCTGTGAGGTGGAGCAGATGAGGAGTGGTGAGCAACCATTTTCCATGTTTTTAGTTTGCAGGAGACGTCGGGTGTCTCTTGTTGATGTCTTTGTTTTTCTGGCCCATAGCTATTCTTTTTATTAACACAGACAAAAACTGTAGAGAATTTGTAAACCTTTTAAATCCGAGACTGAACTGAACATGGTGACTTTGGATTTTACATTACAAGGTCATCTGCCTTTTGCTGAAGGGTAACCAAGGACATGATTCTTTCGATTACAAAGGCTGGAGTCTGAGTAGTGGAAATTTTGGACTACCCAGTTTTGAAGTGAAACAGGAAAAAAAAAAAGAATAAAGGCTGGAAATGACAAGAATGCAAATTTCCTAATTCTCTGACCAACATTTTTGGTACAGTATCATGAGATAATGATAGTAACCAATATTTGAAATTCCTAAGTCTCCCTGACATTTATTTTATTTGCATAATAAAATACTAATACTATCATAATCTCTTTAAAATGAGTCTCAGTTAAAATAGCAATGACTATTACATAATTGTATTTAGCAAGAAATTTAAAATTTAAATCTAACTATGAAATGCTGTTATAGTAGAGACATTATTAGTATCAATAATTAATCTGAACAAATAAAGTTCCCAAAGCTGGTTTTCCACTGATTTGTTGAGGTCATCAGAAGCAGAATTAAGTAATCCATTAAGATTATTTAATCTTTTCAAAGCAGAGAACTTGGAAGCATAGAGCCGAAGACAGCAGAAACAGTCATCTCAGTAAGAGACGCTGCGGTAGTCATTATGGATCCAGTGTTGCCTTTGAACTTTTCCTGTTTCTGTTTCATTCCTTCCTTGTTTATCCCTCACTGTTTCTATTTGAATTAAGCCTAGATAGCTAAGTCTGTCTCAATGTTTGAACAACATGTCTAAAATTATTTATAGAAAAAATTGGAAAGTCGTTGTATTAAACTGGAAAGACTATTTTGATCACCAAATGCTTAGTCACGTGGTAAAAGTCCCTCACCGAGCTGCTATCTAAAACAGCTCAGACCGTCCTCCACCTTATCTTCCCTCCTGCCTTCTTTTCTTTTTCCTCATTCTGAGTCTCCTTCCTCCTTCCTTTCCTTATGTATGATGTTAGATGCAATAAAGAGAAACATATTGTGGCCAACATTTCCTTCTTAAGCCACACTGACTACTCTCCTGAAATTAGAAAGTCTAAGCCAATTCTGCTTAACTTTATATGTAATTTTAAAGTTTTTTAGTAGTCACTTTAGGAAATCAAAGAGAAACAAAGAAAAATATTTGAATAAAAGATTTAGCTTAATCCAAAATACTATTTATGAAATAAATACTAATTAATTTCACTCTTTGAAATAGCATGTCTCCAAAATCATGTAGATATCCTGCATTAACAGTACACATTGAATCATGCTAGCTAATTTCAAGTGCAGACTGACAACAGGTGTCTGGAGGTCACTGTATTGGTCAGCCTAGCTCCCAGTTGGTTTTCAGAGACGTCTGGGAACTTAGTACACTCTTTATCCTATTCTTTATCAAACTTTCAAAGACTAGAAATGACTGGAAGTAGACTTGAGCAGAGCTGATTAAAACTAAAGGCATTTATGGAAATGTCATTCATTTCAAAGTGCTGGGATCATTCATTCACACATGATCTACTAAGCAAGTAGACTTTGAAGACTTATTACATGCACAAAAGATGGTAGGTGAGGAGATGTACGGAATTTTTCCGAATCTCAGAGAATCTGTAGTAGATTTCATTATTGGAGATATACTTGTAAACAGATTCATTGCAACATGAAAGGCTAAAAACCACAGTTGAGAAATGAGAGGCATCGTCATGGAACAGAGACATCCCAAAACTCAATTCTTCCCAGGGCAATGTAAAAGGCTTTGGCAGGAGAGGAATTTTGGGGAGGAAATGTTTTCATTGACTTTGTAAAACGATTTGCATTTTGCTGGTCATGAAAGAGGAAGGGTCTGCCTGGGGAAGCAGCGAGACTTAGAGAGGCAGGATGCAGAGAGGAGTGGAAGAGGCGGGCTAGGGCATTCTGAGCCCCTGCGTCATGCTGGGCCCACGTGGGACAGCTATTTATTTAATTGTTGAACAGGCAAAACATTTGTAGAGCAGGACTAAGTTTAGTGGGTCTGACTCCTTGGGCGCTGCTGAGGGGCCTCCTGTGCTGAACTAACATGCGTAGTGTATCTTAAAGGCAGTTTGCATAATAAACCACAGAACACATTATAATTCCTATCAAATGAATCTCTAGTTAAGGTCATAGAGGCCTTGTGGTCACAATAAGCTGTGTTTGAATTTGAGCTCCACTAGTTAATAGCATGATTGTGAGCAAGTGAGTTACAGTTCTTCAGTGGGTTTTCATTGGCAGGATGAGGATTCTGAGGCCCACCTCTACAGTTTTTCAGAGAAATAAAGGAGATGATTACTAAATTAATTTTATTAAAGCTGTAGGCATAGTACCTGGCATATAAGAACTTCTTAAATAGTAGCCATAACTATTATTTAGTTTGACAACAGAAAAGCAGAGGTCTCTAATGGTCAAGTGACTGAATAAGTTTGTGTGTGTGTGTGTGTGTGTGTGTGTGTGTGTGTGTAAATCTGTAAGGTCTTTGTCAGACATTCATTTTGAATGTTTGCTTCTCAACTGCTGGGGCTATTTGGGGGAGCTTCTGGCATATTTTAGAGGTGGGAGCTTGCTGGCAGAAGTAGGTGGCTAGCTCTTGGTTCTGACCTGCTCCTTGATTCCTGGTCTGCTGCTATACACACAGCTTCTTCCATTCGCTTCTGCCACCACAAACTGCTCTGTTCTGCTACGCTCTCCCTGCCATCATGGGCTGAAACCCTGAGATACACTGAGCCCAAATAAAGCTTTCCTCCCTTACACTGTGGGTGCGCTTTATTCATCACCCAAGTGTGGTGAACAGGCTGGAAAGGCAGACAGTAGTGAGACACCTGGGGATTTGTTGCAGAGATGAAAGAGGCAGGAGAGGTAGAGGAGGAGATGGACAGACGGGCAGCTTGCTGTCAGTCCTTTGTGAGGCCTTTGTGAAATGTAACCGGTGAACCAGTGGTTGAGTCGGGTTGCAGGCTGAAGGGAAGGAGATATAAAAGTTGGATTTAAAGTGGAAGGAGTGGGACCAGAGAGAATATACACATGAGAAGAAAGACATTGAGTTTTGGAATGTGGAGTGGGAGATAGATTTGGGGACCATCAACAGATGGACGATAGGTGAATGAAGCCCCAGGGAGGGAAATAGTTCCAGAAAGCAGAAATAACATATAAAGCATATTGGCCAGGTTCTGTAAAGGAATAAAACTGGTAGAATAAATATGTATATATCAAAAGGTAATTGAGTAGATTGGCTTACAGGATATGGTCCAGGTAGTTCAGCAATTGCGGTCTCACACTAGAGAGCCCAGGAATCCTGTAGTTAGTTGCTTAGTCTGTAAGGTTGGATGTCTCAGCAGCCCAACCTAGCTCTGAAGGCTTGGAGGGTTCCTGGAGAGCTGGTGGTCTTCAGTCTATGTGGGAAGCTCCAAGAACCTTGTTCTAATACCGGTGAAAGAATGCCCTGGTCACAGCGTAGTTGTACTTGCCAACAAGTGTGAAGGCAAGCAAGCAAAAAGCAAGTTTCCTTCTTCCATGTCGTTTTATGTGTGCTGCCACCAGTGTGTTCTGCCCACATTTAGGGTGGGTCTTCCTGCTTCAAATAATCTGATCAAGACAGTTGCTCACAGGAGTGCCTGGCAGCTTTGTGTTTTAGTTGTTGCCAGATGCAGTCCAGTTGACAACCAAGACTAGCCATCCTGTAAAGTGAGAAAAGGGGAGGTAAGAGAACCCGGGAACTTAGTTTAAGACTTTGGCAGAAGGCTGGCCGGAGAGACAGAAGAAGGAGGTGGAAGGAGGAGGAGTCTGGAGAAAGTGGTGTCACAGAGGTAGAAGAGAACTGTGTTTTCATTAGGGATACTTATAGAGGTAGCAAGAAGCACTGCAAAGAGACCCGTATGTAATGGCTCAGCACCAGGGCTTCTTCCTACAAGCCTGGTTTGTTGTTGGGGTAGAGGTGATGTAGCTCAGTAGTAGGGAAGTTAGACAGAATCCTAGGCAACCTTTCCTTATCAATTCCTATGTTGGGGGTTCACCTTGATAATAAATTTCCATGTCATATAAGTAGGGGATGTAAAGACATTGAAGGAGAAAAAGAGGGCAAGACCCCTCAGACAGGTCCTAAAAGGCCTATAGCACTTCTCCTGGCAAGACTCACACAGTCATGCCTGACTGTGGGAGACCATGAAATGTGGTCTCATGGGGTGTCCAAGGAGATGATGAAATCGACTTGATATCTGCCACAGAAAAGTTAAGAAATCTAGGTTAAAAGATAGCTGAGGAGGAACTCTGGAGTCGGTAAACATCCTTAGTGATTTCTACGAAGATGTTTTCAGGCAGGGGGAGTGGATTAGGAAGTTATCAGTCACTAAGTCCAGGACACTGCTCATGATCAAACAGAACAGAGTTCTCTTAACGCCTGAGTGCCTGGAGTTAGGATCTGCCTGAGTTCTGATCACAAGGCTGCTGCGCCCTAAGTTCTAATCGCATGGCTCATGCTGCACAGTAGAAAGAGCAGCCTCAGAAGCAGTTCAAGTCTTTTGTCTTTGCAGACAGCTACAACGCTTCTGGGAACAGATAACCCTGTGGCAGTTTGCCCAGAAATTTCAATTGACTGATCTGAGCTCATGCAGCTCTGATATCCTACAGAGCGGGCAGGGTTGGGGTGAGAGGATGGTGTACAGTAAGCGGATTCAGGTTCCCGTGTGCACGGGATGTAGCCGTGTGCACACACAGGGTTCTTCGTGGGAAACCATGTGTACGCTATCGCGGCCTGGGGAGGCCAGCTCCTGAGAACTGCTCCAGGGTTATAAATAGAAGACCTCAGAGTAGCGGGACTTTAGGGAACTTTTTTATATGAGGGTCAAATAAAGAAACACACAAGCTTTC